TTTTTTTTAATTCATGTATATTGAATTTTTTTTTAATAAAATTTTGATTTGTTGAAATTTTGTTTGTACTAAAATTACAGTTTTAGGTTTAAAGTTATTAATCTTTATAATAAAAAACTTCTGCCAGCATTAATTTCATCATATATATAATGATTTTATACATAGAAGCTTTTTTGTTAAATTTTGATTAATCAATAAAATTTTTATGATATTACTAGGATGATCTACAAAAATTGACCAATTATAATGAAAGCCCACTATACTAGCACATGATATTGTGAGAATTAATTAATATCATATTATACTAAATTCTTGTTCTAATATTCTGATTGTATCATTGTGCACTCATTGTACTTTTATATTAGCATTTGTATCTGCTCTAGAGCTGATGCTCTACTATGTTACCTTTCTCTACTTTAAGATCATATTGCAATAAAGTCCTATTACAGGTAAATTTATTCAAGTACAAACTGAAATGAAAAGTTTGATTTATCTGATTGATCCCCTTATTTATTTAATTTCATCAGATTAAATTACATCATAGATTACTACTAATTAGCTATTATTAATTTTCTAATTAAAGATCAGTTATGCATCTATATACTAATTATAACATAGATCTATCTATATTAATTTGATCACTGTACCTTATGTCCTGGACTGCATTTCATATTCAACTATTAGAACCTGATATGAGTTAGACCCCCAGGACTTTGTCCTAAAGTTTAACTCTTGTAATCCAACTTAACCTTTATACCCATTTATTATATACATTATTATTATTAGAATATTAATATTATTATACTTATATGTGTATTTTTTTATTTTTTTTTGCTAATCTTCTAAGAATTCTAATAGGTCATCTTTTGAAGAAACATGTTCTTCTTCATTCTATTCTTTATTATTCAGTTGTTTATTATCTATCTGATTCTTTAGAACCTTATCTAATTCACTTGAACTTTTAGATTTATCTAAATTAAATCTTATTCTTTTGACTTGTTTCTTTGTTATTAAATCCCTTAGCATGGTCCTATCAACTTTTTCAATATAGAACTGATTATATTTACCAATCCTTATCATATTGTAAAAACCAACCTATCAATAATTCAATTTTCAGGAACAGGTTTTTAGAATGAAATCATAGACCAAAACCAGGTTATCAACCTCAATTGGATCTCTTGCCTTGGTTCAATAATCATGAAATTCCTTTTAGTGCCATTTTATTTTATTATGATTTGTTCATGCTTTGTTCAAGTTATTTGCTAAACCTTTTATTTGCTAAGTGTGATATTCAAATAACTTATCTGTTGTTCATTGGTATCTTTTTTTTTTTTTTTTGCTTATACTAAAACTGTAGTTATTGTATTTTAATTATGATTACATAAATTGTACAAGTTGAGTATACAACTAGCCATATGTACAACTTTTGGTTGTCTATTTTAAGTAGTTTGTCTACATAGCAGGTTCTACACTAGCTGCCATATCTGCAATCTACTAAGAGATTACTTATTTAAACACTCTGATTCCTATACTTATACTAACAAATAGTACACAAGTTTACATACACCTAAGTGCTATCTAAACTAACCATAACCTTCCTGTCTATACATCTGTCAAGCTGTTACATATTTCAGAGGATGTCACTTGACTGTAAAGCTTTAGAAGGTTCTTCTGCTAACTAACTACCCACATTTAGTCTCTTGTTAACAGAACTTGCTTTTTCAAAGTTCATCTAGAGCTCAATACTAACTTCACAGCATATCTTTAGTACTTATAGTATATTCCTGTTTCTGATCTTAAACTCCTAATCCAGATAGCCTAATAGGACTATAACCTGTTTTTGGTATTTCAGGATCTGCTTTTCAAGGTTCTTTTCCTCTAGTTTGAGACTTCTAGCAGCCTGGTTGGTGATACCCCTTACCTGAGGTTTTTGCCTATCTAATTCCTTTTATATTGATATTTATTTTTTAGGTTTAGCCTTTATAGTAGTACTGTCAAAGATATGTATTACCTCTCTATTCAGGTCTTTTCAAGTGGGCTCCAGTTTTCCAGTTCACAGATTTACACAGCCACAAGGACTTATCTTGGATTTGCACTGTTTGATGTCAGTTTGCATTCTTCTGTATAACTTCAATATTGTGCAAATGCCCTATAACCTGCCAGTTATTTGGTGCAATTATGTTACAGGTACTGATTTCAACTGATTGATAGAGTGCCATTGCTATAATACTGCTTACCTTCTATAATACTGATATAACATAGATAGTTTTTCAAATTTTTACAATCAGTAGGCTTTGAACTTCCAATCTACCACTTGAGGAGTTAACAACTTAACCACTTTACTAAGCTATCATACTCCTCTATTGGCTTCTTAATACATATATATGATAACTTTTTATAACTAATTCAATTAGCATTATAGCATCTTTTCCAAATACCAAATGAAAAGAAGAATAATTCAAATCTTCTACAGTTATATTTATTGCCCAAATGATGCTACATATATACTCATGCTACCAATTTTGTTGTTTAGCACACAGTTTTTGGATAATTCTAGTAAACTTTTGCACAACATGTTTAGCATAACTATTAGCTTCCAAATAGTAACTAGCAACAAAATGCTAATCTACATTTAACTAAGAAGATAGTTCCTCTATTATTTTATTTTTGAACTCAGTTCCTCTATTAAATACTAGAGCAGTAAAGCAGCCATAATGTAGAATTATATTCTCCCAAATAAAGTAAGCAATATTCTTTGTATTCTTTTTGATAAAGGCTGTTTCTTTGACATATTCAGTCAAATTCTCAATTGCCAACACTACATGTTCATGTTTAGCTACTGTTTGGAGCAAGGGTTCAACACAATTGATGTACATCCTTTCAAAAATCTAACTTGTGACAGTCATATATATCAGTTCAGGCAGCAATTTTGAACATACTTTTGATACTCCTTACAGCTTGATACTATTTTTTGGATGTCTTCATACATATTTTCTGTTCTTTATACATACTTTAATTTTACCAAGATCAGTGTTTGATTGATCCCTCTATGTTCACTTTTATTTGCTAGTTTTTTATAACATGCTTTTACAATTTCATATTTATCATGCTCTTCTAAGATTACTTATTTAGGTAGTGCACCTTTCTTTAATATTATATACAGATTATTTCTAATTAGACAATAACATTTTAACTTTCTCTTAAGATGAGGCAGAGCACATGCCTTCACATGAGACCTCCAAGTTATTTGTTACAAATATTGCTTTATTAAAGATAGATCTCCAATTTTTTATTCATCAAGACTTATATGATACAATTGATCTTTAATAAATTTATTGTCAGTCACACCCTTTTGAAGTAGTAGATCAGGATAATGTGACATTCTATTTGCATTTTCATGCTTTTTACCCAACTTATATCAAACTCAAAACTCAAAAGTTTGTAAAAGCAAAATTTATTTCATCAATCTGTCCTTTAACTCTACTTTATTAAACAACTATTCTAGAGCCTGATGATCTATCTAAATATTAAACACAGTTTCATTAATATATCTTTCATAACATCTGAATACTATTGTCAAGCACTCCTTTTCAGTAACTGTGTAATGCAACTCATGCTCATTCAACTTTCTTGAATCAAAAAACACTGGTTTTAAATGTTCTTTTTCATCTACTTGTTTTAGTACAACTTCTATGAAATAATCACAAGCATCTATATATATTTGATATAGCTTCACCCATCTTTGGCAGCTTGCCAATTATGGGCTTTTAGAACAATTTGATTAGCTAACCTTTCTTTCAATAACTCAAATGCTTCATTTTCTATAGATCCCTATCAGAACTCAGTATTATGCTTAGTTATATCAGTTAGTGGCTTTACAATTTTACAACAATTTATCAATAATAATTCAGTATATCATGGAATGATCTTACTTTAGCCACATTATAGAGGGTTTTCTATTTATGAATCTTTGCAACCCTTTTCAGATTTACTTTAATTTCTTTTTTACTTGCTATGTACTCATATATTTCAAGTTTATTATACAAAATAAAGCACTTTTTTGTTGCAAAAGTCAAACCTGTTCTTTTAAAGACTCTAGCTAATTTAATAAATATTTTCAAATATTCTTTTATACTCCTATTTGTTTAAACACCAAGATTATTTTAATATGCAACAGCTATGTTTCTTTATCTTTTACCATCTAGCAGCCTGTCTATTAATCTCTAAAAGATTTTGCTTGCATTTTTTAGGCCTATGCATATAACTGTATATCATAATATACCAAGTGAGGTGGCTATAGCCACTTTGTCATAATCTTTTTTTCTTTTTCCTATTTGCCAGTATCTTTTGAACACATCAACTGATAAATACAATCATAGCTAGCTGCTTGTTCTAGTATGTCTCAGATAATTAGTAATGGATAACTGTCCTTAATTATATGCTTGTTAAGGGGTTTTATGTTACTAACAACCCTTATTTTGTCAGTTCTATCTTTTTTCTTTTGTATAGAAAAACAATAATAAGCATATTTGTCTGTTTTTTTTTCTAGTAGGCCACATTTGATTATTTGTTTTAGGTGATCTTCAAACATCTTTTTTGTTTCAAGATTGTTTATTCTTATTGGTCATAATCACATCAATGGCATTATTGCATCATCAGTTCTAACTTTATACTCCACAAGGTTCATTTTACTTATGTCTTTTAACTTATATGCAAATACATCAGATACTTTATTTATTAATTGTTCAATAATAATACTTCTAATAGGCTTTTTCAAACTATAGATCTGAGGTTGAGAAGCAGACTATTTTCTATTATCAACTTTGACACAACAAGTATGTCTTTTTTATCTATAGTACCATTGACCCTTTCATCATCTTACTTTCAATAATTTACTTAACTACAAAATGGCAACCTCCAAGACTCTTACATTCTATGTGCTTAATTTCACACAATGTTATATTATCCTTATTTTTTAGCTTGCTTAGAACATTCAATGCCTAATTGTCATTGGTTCCTTCATCTAAATCAATTTTCTCTATTCTTCTTATAGCCATTATATTATTTACTTCATCTTCATAATTACTCTCATCAATGCTTTTAACATCATCATTATATTTACTAATTTGGGTATTTTTTATTTAGCTTTTAGGCATTGTTAATACTACAAAAGAGACAGATCTTATAGGAGAAGAGATAGTGCATCAATATTTGGTTTTTTTAAAATCTAAGGTGCATTGTGCTCTAGCATTTCACAGCATACTTAACAGAACATCAAAACTGGCTATTTTAATTATATAGAAGTTTTGATATATCATAATATCTTCTATGTCTACTTTTATATTAGATATGTAATCTATGAATTAACTAATCCTATTGTCAGCCATTTGACCTTTTCTGCTTGTCTTTTTTTATTCCAATTCTTTTTTTTTAGCATACTTCTTCAACATTAGGTTTATACGAGATCCTGAGTCAATTGGAGCCTTTATCAAGTCACTGTTAATTTTTACTGTTCATATAGAAACAACTTTATTTTGCTTTTGTTGATTATCTTGCATTATACCTTGTATAATCCTTATTCTTACATTTTGATCATTATTATCCTTTTTTTGCCAGGTTAAATCCTTTATTATTTTAGAGCATGCTTTGAGAAACCACTTAAATAACTGTCTAAAGATAAGTATTACTTTCATGTTTGATAATTTTTTTAGCAAATCAAGCTTATCAGAAAGTTTAACAAAGGGTATATACATTATGTTTTCACATGACCTTGGCCCATTTTCACATATGGTTTCTTTAACCTTTCTTCTCTTTCTTATTGGTTGCATTGTCTTACTAACAGCATTTTTTCTTTTTCTTTTACCAAATAACCTTATATTGCAACAACCATTCTCATTCAATAATTCTATCTTTAGATATTTATTACCAGTCATAGGACCCTTTTCTGTGAATTCCACAAGATGTATGTCAGCATTATCAAATATTATGCCCCTTTTAGCTTGGCTATTGTTCTTATTTTAGTTTGAACAATTCTTCATAATATGACCCTTTTGATTACATAGGTAACATGTATGGAACTTAATAGATTTTTGTAAAACTTGCCTTTTACTTATATCCTTTATAGGTTTTGCTACTACATTTTGAATTATATTCTCAATATCAAACCAATTCAACTTTTCTTCTTATTTTACATAATTAATACTTAATACTGCAAGTCTATTTACAATACTATCAAGCTTTACATCTGATTTGTTTTGTTGAGAATTTTCTTCAAGTATATTTGAGGCTTTGTTTTTATTGAGTGCCTTATCTCTATTATATTTTTCTATTTTCTAATGTCTTTTTTTTTGCTTTTTCATAGTTCTTCAGGCAGCAATTCTTTATCTTGGATTTATATGGTTCCCTTAAACCCTTAATGTAACAAATACATTTCTCATCAGTTCTGAGTTGGTTCCTTATGGCTTGAGCATATGCCTTATAACAGTTGGTGTATTCTCTTACTGACTCTTTTTCTTCTTGTTTAAAACATTTTAACCAGTTGATTTTGACTTTAGTTGCATTTTTAGCTTTCACCTTCTCTATGATGGTTTTCTTTAGGTTTTGCCAACTCTTTTGGTTTGTATCAGGTTCTGAACCCATGTTTTTATACTTTCTGACATATGCAGGTGCACTATCAAACATAGGGTGTCTTCATCATACCTTTTAACTTTGCTATAGTTTTTAAGATCAAAAAAAAAGTTCTTAATATCATCTACTTTAGTACCATAGTAAACAGATACAATTTGGTCTTTGCTTCCTATTATTATAATTCTACTTTCCTTCTCTTTGTGACTTTCTTTTTTCTACACTATTACCTTTTTCTAAACTCATTCATACCAATTATACTCTTCTTTAAACACTCTTATATAACTTCTTAAATATGTTCTTTTCATATACAATAGTGTGTAAAATACCAGTCTAGATATATATGATCAGCCTTATATACATTTTTTTTTATTCCTTTGGGTTACTAACCAAAGTCTTTAATTTTTTCTTTTTGTATTATATCTTCTATTTGTTATGTCCTTTATAACTTTACCAAATTTGTTTGTTACAGCTTTACCAATTCCTTTGTTGCAGCTTTACTGATTCCTTTGTTGCAGCTTTTCCAATTTCTTCATTGCAGCTTTTCCAATTCCTTCATTGTAAAAGATGGTAGCTTGCTCAGGTTCTTTATGTCATAAAGATTAATTAATATCGTATCAATACTAAATTCTTGCCCAAACATTCTGATTATATCATTGCAAATTCACTGTACTTTTATATTAGTATTTGTATCTGCTCCAAAGCCGATGCTCTATTACAACACTTTTTTCTACTTCAAAATCTTATTACAATAAAATCTCTACTATAGATAAATTTATTTAAGCACAAACTGAAGTAGAGGGTTCAATTTACCTGATCGATCCTTTTATTTATTTAATTTTGTCAGGTGAAATTATATCATTGATTACTACTAATTAGTTATTATTAACTTTCTAATTAAAAATCAATTATGCATCTATATAATAATTATGATATAGATCCTATTTATATTAATTTGATTATTGCATCTTATGTTCTGGACTGCACTTCATGTGCAACTAATTAGAACCTGATACATAACCAGGTCATATACTAATATTGTTGTTGTCAGTGCTTTATATTGTCTGATTTGTAGATGCAGTTAGTTGAGGCATGAAAGGAAATACTCACATATGAGTTGCTGTTAATAGAAATTAAGCAGGTTAACATTTATTAAAAGAATTAATACTTTAACTTTCATTACTCATATCTTAATGAATTTTGAAGCCATTGTTATAATTGAATAGTCAAAAGAAAGCTTGGATCTTAAGTATTCATTTGGCTATTCAATTAAAGAATAGCTTTAAAATTTATTAAGATATAAGTAATGAAAATTAAGGCATTAACTTTTTTTAAAATATCAATCTGCTTGATTTCTATTAACAGCAGCTCATATAATTATTTGTATTATTTACATTAGTATAATAATTCTAGGACTAACTGTAATGTAGTCACAAAAAGAAAATTATCATAAGGATTACCTAACTTTATGATCATTATGGTTATATGGTCCTAGCAAATTAAATAGAATTGTATAAATTATTAAATCATTGAGCTAAAGATTAATGAATTATTAAATCATTGATCTAGCAAGTTTATAAAATTTGTGCTTTTCTTTCACTGCTTTTCAAAGTTGTCTAAAACTTTATTTTCTGGCTAATCGAAAGGTTTTTTTCTTTCTCTTTTAAATAAAAAATTAACAAGTAAAATCCTGCATCTACAGCATATTGATACCATTTAATACTGTAAAATCATATTTAAACTGGATAATTAAGAAGAAATAGGCAATTGTATACTTTACAAAACAGAAATAGCTATATATTTTCTAGATAACTGCTATATATACTCATACTGTTTGAATAAATTAGATTGAACAGCTGTGAACATTCTACACTATTGCAACTAAGTTATTAGGAACAGCTGTGTACACCCATACTATTCTTAGAGTGTTTTCAAATAGCTTAATCAATGTGATTAACTAATAATCAAGATGTTGCAAATGATGATTATTGCAGTTAATTGAAAAACAAATTGCAAAAATTAATTTAGATTTCAAATTTTAGCCAATCAGAGCAGCTTTATGAAAAAACTTTGTAATTGCAGCTCCAGGATTTTCCATTAATCAGATCAGTTGGTAAACACTAAAAAAGATGGCCTTAGTGTAATTTGGGTTCATTGAGAGCTATTAGTAAAACAAAAATTAATATAAAATAATTAGTAATTATATAATTTAGTAGTTTGTCATGAATTGCACTAAAACAAATTGTATAATTTTCAGTTAGAGACAATAATTTTCTGCAAAATGCAAAATATCATAGAATTTGCAGAAACTTTTGAATTTACTTAACTTTGCAAAAATTTTATTACAGATATTTACAGAAATTTGCAAAAATAATTTATTTTACAGATAATTATTTCTTATCTTCAATTAATTGAAATTAATTGAAGAGATCCTTATAACAATTTTTCCAAAGATTTTAAATTTTAGCCAATCAGAGTAATTATAAAAAAACAGGATGATTGTTAACATTAATCTAAGTTTTTGACCAAAATGATCTATTTTTTTAGCCAATCAGATTATTTTATCAACTATTGAGAGAGGTGATTAAGAATTTAATTATTAGCATTAGTAACAAATTAACCTCTAATGTGCATACTAGTTGGTACATAAATTTATCCCTATTGAGATCAGTGCACAAAATTTTACTGTAAAATTTTATATCATTTTTACATAAATAATCTTATGTTAATTTATCATAGCATCTGAAATATGTGTATCAGGTTTTTGCTTCAAAAGTTACATGCATGCTCAAAATCTGACCTTGCAATGCCAATGTTAATATTTTCAAATATAATACTTTTGGCAAATTTAATATGAATTAATTGCTAATACTAATTATTAAATTTTTTTATTGCTAATTACTTGTTATTATTATACATTATTACAAGCAACTATATACAATTTATTTTATTTTATTTTTTTTTGGTATTAAGATGAGGTTTTGCCTTTATCTTTATTAATAATTTGTTATAAGCAACTATATGAGTTGACACAGGCTAGAGCCAATTTACAAATTTTTTACAAGAATGAAACTCAGACTATAGATGAAATTATTATCTAATTTATCTAATTTTCTGCAACCTAAACCTACTAGAGTGGTTAAAACTTACCTAGATTTGATAATGTAAAATATGATTAGTTGGAGTACTG